ATCCCTAGACAGTTGTTCTGGGTGCCCATGTGCCAGCTTTACATGATTTAAGTATGTTGAGAGGTCTTGAGCAAGCGTGACTTTTGTGTAAGTAGGCAGATTGAGAATGAAAATTTTGTAACTTGATTTGTAAGTCAATAGACAGAGTTACGGAAGATTAGGAGAAACCTGATAAGCAAGGTGCTCCTAAGTGTGATAATTAACAACCTCATATATTGTCACTTTTAAAAATCTTTTGCAATGGACCAGCTGGAAATAGTGAATCTCATTAACATGAAATGCTTAGGATAAGTAACCCCTGTGTAAAATAGAATACTAAATAGCTGAAATTATAAATTGAGGTTCTACAACTGAATTTATTATAATTTCATTTTAAATAAATTTTATTATTGTTATACTGTATCAGGAAACTTGTTAATTGGGTGGTTATAAGCCAAGTTACCCCAGTTATATGATTTGTAATGTCCATAAAGTTAATGCCTAACGTTAATTTGATAGTTCTCTGAATTAGAAATATTGTTAGAAAAGTGAACTCTTCTATAATTCTTTTGGGTTATGGATTTAATTGTTAAAAGACTGATGTAAATATGTTATAAATACAACCTTTTTAGAAATAAAGAAGATAGGAATAATGGTTTTCTGTGAAGTTGGCATAGCAAGGAGCCCTTTAAAATGTCCCCATCTGTGAAAGTCGGAGTCCTAAAATGCTCCTAGACCTGGTACCAGTCTAAAGTAGCACTGAATGCTTGCTTTTGTGACAGATTGGCAACTGAGCAGGGTGACAACATTTTAAGACTTTAAGATCTAGCCACAGGCTCAGTAAAGTACAGTGATTTGATTTTAGTTAAGAGCTAGAAATTACAAAAAAAAAAGTTTTGTTCCTCTAAAAAAAAAAAATTTCAGTCTCTAACCTTTGGATGACACTATCTTAAAAATGACTTTCAGCTTTGACTTTAGTTTCCTTCTAGTAAGGTTAGAAAAGTATCTGGTTAGTTGTGTCTGCCCACCTTTGTAGGAAGCCCATATTATAAATCTAATACTGTATAAATATTGGATATGTATAAATATGTATAAATACTGTATAATACCGTATAAATATGGTTGTTGTGATCTGTGACTTACATAGGACCTTAAATATTTGTTTCCTTGTATTGTTCAAATTGAGAATTATTTAGTTGACTCCTTCTGTGAAAGATCTTGAAAGTTTCTGCCTGAGGAAACTGGACCATGCCCTGTCAGTATTAGATCAAACACCCTTTTTTTTTTTTTGCCTGGGCCAAAACTAGCTGTTTATCTAGAATCTTATAATATTTTAGCCCAGAACACTTTAAGCTAACCTGATGATCACAGGTGAATTCAAACTGATAAAACTTTATATGTATTTCCTAGTATTGTTAATGTAAAATTAAAAACATGTCTATATTGTGAAACTTGGTAACACCAACACAGTTAGAAAAAGATTCTCTTGTACTTTGAATATTGTTAGGTTTTAAATCTAGTGTTGAGTATTTTATATAGATTATAATGATGGAAAAAAAATTCTTCTCCGTTTTTATTGGATAAGAAGTTTGACATGGTTATAAGAAGTTTGTTTCAATTCTTCTGGTGACAAGTTCCGAATTCTATAATGCTTAAACCTAAGAGCTTCAGAAGTGAAAACCTACCACATCTAATTAGAATGAGGAAATCTATAGATCAGTTTATATAAGTTCCACTTATATTTGTTCAAAATAATTTTCTGTGTAAAATAATTTAAAGATGCAAATCAAAACAACTCTGAGGTTCCGCATCATACCTATCAGAGTGGCTAATATGACAGAAAAGGAAAATAATAAATGTTGGAGATGTGGGAAAATTAGGACACTAATGTATTGTTGGTGGAGTTGTGAATTGATCCAGCCATTCTGGAGAGCAATTTGGAACTATGCCCAAAAGGCTATAAAACTGTGCACACCCTTTGATCCAGCAATACCACTTCTAGGTCTGTATCTTAAAGAGATCATAAAAAAGAGAAAAGAACCCACATGTGCAAAAATATTTATAGCAGCCCTTTTCGTGGTGGCAAAATATTGGAAATTGAGGGGATGCCCATCATTTGGGGAATGGCTGAATAAGATGTGGTATATGAATGTAATGGAATACTGTTGTGCTATAAGAAATGATGAGCAGGCAGGCTTCAGAAAAACCTGGAAAGACTTGTATGGACTGATGCTGAGTGAAGCGAGCAGAACCAGGAGAACGTTGTATAGAGTTGTGAGATGATCAGCTAGGACTGATTTAGGTTTTCTCGGCAATACAATGATTCGAGACAATTCCAAAAGACTCATCATGGAAAATGCTATCCACATCCAGAGAAAGAACTATGGAGTCTGACTGCAGATTGAAGCATACTATTTTCATTCTTTTTATTTTTTTGTTCTGTTTATTCTTTTACAACATAACTAATGTGGAAACAGGTTTACATGATTGCACATATATAACCTGTATCAGATTGCTTGCCATCTTGGGGAGGGGGAATGGGAGGGAGAGAGAGAGAAAAAATTTGAAATTCAAATCTTATAAAAAATGAAAACAATTTTTACATGTAATTGGAAAAATCAAATACTATTTACAACAACAAGAAAGGGAGGATGGAAGGAAGAAAAAAAGAAAAAAAGAAAGAAAAAAGTGCTATTAGGCTAATGATGCCAAGAACCCTGAGGTTGACGTCCATGAACTGCAGGTGGAGTTCTCATGGGAAAAGCTGAGATATCAGCTCGACTTCCCAGTATGATGTTTCTTCTTGAATGGAAATATTCCACCATTTAAGCCTGGCTCAATGCAATTGCCTATCTGTAAGACTCTTGCCTGGGATTGACATGAAGTCAGAGAAACATTATTTCCTATGTCCCTCATTCTCCTTTTATGGCGAATTTCCATAGCCGTGTCTGATGGTCAGGATGAATACAATCTTCATCTCAGACGCTGATACTGGAGCCCATCTGAGCTACTTCAATAAGCAGCAGGTATAAGATCGTGGAGCTATTTAGCATTTCGATATTCCGACCAAGTAGACACTTATAGGGCTTTGTCATCTGTCTGTTATTAATTATATATATTTTGTATAAAACAGGGGCCTTAAATGGTCCAAAATAATGTAAGAATAACTGGGTATTGATGCAACTGTTTATGGGACCAGACTGTATTCTATTATTAAGACTAAATCAGAAATGTCTTCAGTTTTTATTTTGAAGAAAATTATTTTGGTGTAAACAATTTCCTTAGAGAAGAGTAATTTATGGAATAGCTTGTGTTACCTAATGGGGAAAAGTTAATTTTATTTGGGTGTATTATTTAATTTGGAATTACCACTTGGCTGTTGAGCATGTCTTGAAGTACAAACATATTTTATTATAAACAGCTTCTTTGATATGCACGGGGTTTTGAAATTAATTGCTCCATGTATTTGCACATCCCATCCCAGAGCCTTTTGTTACAATTCACGTCAATTTGGTAACTTTTAAAAGAATTCATTTTTATATCAGAGCTCATCTTCTTATTAAAAAATGTTCTGCTATTACTTCCTTAGCAGAATCCTTCCTGAGAGGGGAATGAACAGCCAAAAGTAAAAAACCTAGGTTTTGGTGAAAATTAAATAATAATAATAAGATCATATGTGAATATATACGTATATACATACACGCATGCATTGGGTTCAGAATTTTCTGATTTTTCAATTTGTATTTGAATTAGCTAACCCACATCACAAGGCAAATATGGGTGATACTCAAGTTCCTTCCCTTTTCTCGAACTTGAATCTGAGGTGAAGAACGAAATAGTTGAACACCAGAAATTAGACGATAGTAGAGTCTATGCCAATTTAAAAGGAACCTTTTAGCCTTAGCCTCTATATTAGTGGATAGCAAATTCATAACTAAAAGGGCTAATTCTACAAATCAGATCCTCCCAGATTCTTTTTTAGATTCTCCTGCCAGCCTGTTTTTGGCAGTATCTAAATATCGGGTTTAGATAAGGACAAGAGCAGCAAGGAGCATGGAAGAATGTATGTTCTCTAGTGTAGAAACTTCTAATTTAATGCTCTTATCAGAGCTATGTGGGACAAATGAACTCTCACTACCTGACCTGGTTACTGACAAAGCAAACCTGAATTGTATTAAGATCTATTTTGTAAGTGATTTCAACAGAAAAAATTATCTGCAGGGGCGATCTGAACTGGAGGAGCAAATCCCCTAAAAAGCTGCTCTGAAATGTCACCCAGACCAAAGGACTGCATTAGGAGAGGTTGTCCAAGGCCAAGCCTTAAGACAGGATGCACTGATGGAACGCGCAGACGGGAGTGGGACACCCTTCCCTTTGGACTTCTCCATGGGTAATGCCTGTTTGCTAGCTGGGAGCTGCCCCAGCCAACCTCCTCTCAATGCCTCAAAGTCTCTCCTTTCCTGCAGGCTACTGAATGGCACACTGCTTAGTTCCACTGAGTCCATTCATTGAGACGACTCCCCTTCTCAGAATCAGAGGGGGGAATGACAGGAAGTTGTTAACACCAAGCATTACTTGACACTCCAGGATCCTAGAAACGTCAGAATTTTGGTAATGTCTTTACATTCCTGCTCTTAAGAGATTCACTCTGCTATCTCAATTAAAGGCAGTCTATTCCCCAACTCATCACTTGATTTATTTCAGGACTTGACATGGACGGGATTTCCTTCCCCAAGTTAATTCAGTTGGTTTGATTTATGCTTGGTCAAGGCAGGCAATTAATTAATGCTACTTGACTGACTGATTGCTTTTTCTTGACCAGACTTTTCCTAGCTTTTCCCCTTGGGAATCCCCTGCTCTCCCCCTTTGGAGTCCAGTTGAGCCTTATGGGTGCCTCAGCTTGGTGTGTATGGGGAGCGAGCCCAGGATCACCCCTCTCTCCCCTCCCCCCGAGACTGGTCTGGATTTCCCCCCAGCCCGCCCCCCGCCCCCACGCAGCAGAGATAGCCCCACTCACCCACCTTGACAACTGAGTGCCAACTTGGAAGGAGGCCACTTGGAAGGAGAGGTCAAGGGACAAAATTGGGAGAGCCCAGCCTGGTTCGAAAGAAGGCCTTTCTCCAAAGAAGGCCACTGACTTCCTGGTTCCTGTGAGTAGCCTGGACCAGGGGACTTCCTGCTTGGCTCTGGGGGCGGAGCCCTCCCACTTGACGCCAAGACAGGGGTAGGACAGCGCGGCAGAGGCCACCAGAGGGCACTCCAAGACCAGGCACCGCCTGCACTTGCCTCCAGCCAGCCCCTGCAACGACCGATGCAAGCTGGTTTCTTATACCAGAAGCCCTGCCCAGTCCCATCCTCACCTCCCAAGCACTGTGATTAGGTGACATTGGCCCCCTCCCTTTTCCCTCACACTCCAATCTCCAGACTCCCGGCATTGGACTCTGGGTCCTGCCTGCAGCAATCTGTCACCAAGCATTGATTAAGGGCTTACTATATGCCAGGGATGCAAGGAAAGGCAAAAACTCAAAACCAAAGCCCTGCTTGTCCCTTGCTTGTAAACTGCTGGGCTGTGTTTTGTCCTAACCCGCCATCTCTGGACTCTAGGCATTTTTTTTTTCTTTTTAGTGAGGCAATCGGGGTTAAGTGACTTGCCCAGGGTCACACAGCTAGTAAGTACCATGCATCTGAGGTCGGATTTGAACTCAGGTCCTCCTGACTCCAAGGCCAGAGCTCTATCTGCTGTGCCACTTCTCTGCCCCTGACTCTAGGCATTTTTGATGGCTCTCCCCCACACCTTACTCCTCTCCACCTTGCAGCTTCCCTGGCTTCTGCCCAGTCTCAGCTGACATCGGAGCCTCTGCAAGAAGCCTCTCCCAGTCGTCCTCAATTTCAGTACCTTCCCCCTGCTGATCACCTCCGCTAGCTCCTGTCTGGAGCTTGTTTGGGCACGGTGCTTTGCAAGTTGTTTCCCCTGTTAGACTGGGAGCTTCTTGAGGGCAGGACTGCCACAGAGTAGGTGCTTAATGAATGTTTACTGACTGGTGGACTGCTATGAGGAGGACCCCAGTCCTGGAATGAAGGGCCTGCAGCCCGAGTATCACAGACTCACCTGGAATAGGAAGGGACCCCAAAGGTCGCCTCCAGGTTTTATAGATGGGGAAACTGAGGTCTAGACAATGTAAGAGACTTTGTCCAAAGCCACCTGGATAGTGTCAGAAGCAGCATCTGAATCCAGGTCCCCTGATTGCAGTGACAGGGCTCTCTCCATTGTACTGAGTTGCTTCCATTTCAGTGTCAGAGGTTGGAGGTCAGCAGCTGCCACAGGTCGGCTCCTGGGGGCTAGACAGTCCCTTACATGTTACGGACTCTAATCTCATTTAACACAGGAGCGAGCTGAGGTTCAGAGAGGGAAGAAGCCTTGCCTACAGTTGCACGGGGAATGAGGAAGCAGAGCCCTGTGTCCATCTCATACACAAGAGATCAGTATATATGTGTGGATGTGTATATGCTTACAGAGGCAGTAAGCTGTATTGAATAGAGCTGTACCCTTAGAGTCAGGAGGACCTGAGTGTGACTGTGCAGTGTGACTGTCACTGTCCTGGAGGCTGAGAGTCCTCTGAATGCAGCCCAAGGTCTCTGGGGCATTTTTTCTGTTGTTATATCTCCGTGCTACTGACTCACCCTCTCCCCGACACCCCTTAAAACCCTAGGACATTTTCCTCCTTGTTTCTCCCCATCCTTGGAATGACATCCTTCACACAAGCTGAAGTAGTCCTGAGGGCACAGGCCTGGCTGCCCCACTATCAGGCAAGAATCTTTCACGTCTCCCTGTTGGCACATTTTGGGTACAAAAGGACCACAAGAATATTCATTCACTCAGCAAGCATTTTTTAAAAAATCGTATTTTACTTTATTTCCCAATTACATATAAAACCAACTTTTACCGTTCTTTTTTTTTTTTAATTTTCAGTTCCGAAGTCTCTCCCTCCCTTCCACCTCTCCCTCTCCTTGAGAAGGCAAGCAATTTGATATAGTTTATACATGTACACGTACATAAAACATATTTCCATATCGGTCATGTTGTGAAGGAAAACACAGACCAAAAAAATAATAGCTCAAGAAAAACAAAGTTGAAAAAAGCCTCCTTCAATCCGCCCTCAGACTCCCTCAGGGCTCTCTCTGGAGGCGGGTAGCACTTTTCGCCATGAGTCCTTCGGGATGGTTTTGGATCATTGGGTTGCTGAGTCCCACACCAAGTCCGTCACAGCTGCTTATGGTACATCACAGCACAGGTCAGCCAGCATTGATCGGGCACCTCTTCTGTGTGAGCCACTTTGCTCGCGCTGGGGGTGCAGAGACTCAAACGATCATGGCCCCCAGGCAACGGAGGTGTCGTCCTCCTCACCTCCTCCCGTCCACTGACTGGCCAGGCTTTGTGATATCTCTCGAACACGCCCCCTTCTCTCCTCTGGCCCTGCCCCCACCCTGGTGCAGACCCCCATCTCCTCACACCTGGACCATGGCAATGGCCGCTAGGGGAGGGGCTGCCTGGCTCCAGTCTCTCCCTCTACACTCCATCCTCCATTCAGCCGCCATTCGATTTGTCGTTCTAAAGCCCAGGTCTGGCCTGCTGTCCCCCTGTAACCTTTAAGACCCAATACAAAGTGCTCTGGTTGGCATTCAAAGCCATTACAGCCTTCGGCCGCTGCAGGTCTACTTACACCTCTCTCCTTGACCGGTATTTTGAGATGCAGGGACCCCAGAAGTCACTGTTGTATTTATTTTATTTCCCAATTCTGTATCTCCCAGCTCTGGCTCTCATCACTGGCTGTCCCCCACGCCTGGAATGCCGGCCTCCTCCTCTCCACCCCTGCCGCTTCGAGGCTCAGTTCAGATCTGCCCTCCTCCCCTCCCCCTCTTCTCTCCCCAGAGGCTGCCCCTCGAGATCACCTCCTGTCCACACTGGGCATATCGAGAACAAGCCACCAAACCTAAGGACGATTTTGCCTCTCACCTCTGCCGAGTGACCCACTCAACTTCCTTCTAAAACTTTGTCGGGGCTGGTTTGGCTCTGGACAGACGTTTCTACCCAATTGTCTGCATGGAGTCCCTCTCAGCGTCAGGCTCATCTTCTCCAGGGCGGGACAGGGACTGTGTTTTTGCCTTTCTTTAGATCTTTCTTTGGTGGTGGTGGTGGGGTGTTTCATGTAGATGGGCTGGACTCACCTTTCTTTTCTTCCTTTTTTTCTTTTTTCTTGGGGAGGGGGAGGGGTTAGGCAATGGGGTTAAGTGACTTGCCCAGGGTCACACAGCTAGTAGGTGTCAAGTGTCTGAGGCCGAATTTGAACTTAAATCCTCTTGACTCCAGGGTCAGTGCTTTATCACTGTGTCACCTAGATGGCCCCCCGGACTCACATTTCTCTAGGACCCTCTGCATGCCGAGTACCAGCTTGTGTTGGCTGTCTGTGTATCCAGCCTTTGATGGCCCCGGACCTCTCAGGGAGAAGCCCCCAAAGTCACTTAATGACAAAGAGCATCCTCTGCCATGCTCCTCCTGGAAGATGTGTGGGCCATTTGTCTCTCCTATCCTTGCCTTTTTACAAGCCATAAAACATGTGGGGTCCTGGGAAAGCCTTGCCAGGAGCATGGCAAGCCATGGGTAGTGGCACTTGTCACCTCTTCAGGGTTAAATAAAGCTGGCGGGGGACAAAATCCCCCCAATCTCCTCTCTCTCCCCACTTTGGTTCTCTCCCGAGACTCCTAGGCCTTTTAGAGGCTTGCTCTGCCCCACCCCACCTCCAATGCTGCCATATTTTATTTCCATTTCTAGACTCCTGATGACTTCTCTTCTAGATCCTCCAGGGGGAGCTCCAGGCCTTTGGGAGGGACCTGCCAAGTTGGGCCAGAGCGGTTTCCAGCAGAGGTTTCTAGGCTAGAAGCCATGTGGAACAGAAGGATGACTGGTGGGCGTTATGTACGCATTCATAGCACTGCAGAGTGGGCCGGAGTTCAGAGCAAATAGACCCACAGGGTCTCAGAGGTGAAAGGACCAGCTAGGCCAATTGGTACCTGAACAAGAATCCCTGCTAAAGGGGAAGCTAGGTGGCACAGTGGATAGAGTACCTGCCCTGGAATCAGGAGGACCTGAGTTCAAATCCGGCCTCAGACCCATAAGACTTACTAGCTGTGTGACCTTGGGCAAGTCACTTAACCCCATTGCCTAGCTTAAAAAAAGAAAAAGAATCCCTGCTCAGACATCCTGGAGGAGTGGTCATTCGCCTCTGCTGGAAGGCCTTCTGGGACAGGGAGCTCATTACCTCTTGGGGCAGCCTGTTCTTACTTTGGGAATAGATGGTTAGAAGTCTGTCTTTGCATCAGGCTGGCCCCTGGTTCAAACAAACAGTTCTGATCCCTTGGCCACTGGAAAGCAGGGAACCAAGGATGTACTTAGAGCCCCAGGAGCTGAGTTCAGATTCCAGCTCTGCCGTTCTTCACCTGTGTGACCCTGCTGGGCATGTCACTCCAACTCTCCAGGCCTCCGACTCCCATCTGTAGAGGAAGGCAATGGGCTAGGTGACCTCCAAGGTGCCTCCCAGCTGTAGGTCTAGGACTCTGTGACTTGACACTAATTGTCTTTGAATCTCATCAATTAGCAGCTGTTTGGACCTGGAGAGCCCTCAGGGAGAAAAAGGAGTGATGGCCCTGGAGACCCTCACTGGCATCTTAGGCAAAGATGAAAATCCAGGAGCGTGGGAAGTGTGGGCATGTCTACCCCGAGCTAGGGGTCCCAACAGCAACACCAGGGATCTGCCCACCCTCATGTTGGGTCCCTAACTTAGCTGCTGATCCCTGGAGCAGGTGGCGGGGCTGGCTGTGTTCCTAGGTGACTATCTGCGTGATGAAGCCCACCTCTCCCCTCTAGTGATGGTGGGCCTAGAGACACATGACAAGCCAAGTACTAGGCTTGTTCAGAAGGTGCGGTAACAGCAATGTTGTAAAGATGACCGGCTGTAGAAGACTTGGCCGCTCAGATCAATGCAATGATCTAAGCCAGTTCTGAAGGATTCATGATGAAAAGTGCTTCCACCTCCAGAGAGAACTGATGCATTCTGAGTGCAGATGGAAGCAGGCTTTTTTCCACTTCCTTTATTTTTCTTGGTTTTGTGT